TATATTGAAAATTTAATTTTTATTTCAATAGATTAATATTAAAATAATATATTAATTTTTGAGAATTACATTGGTCAACGATATTAATACATCAATCTCTTATCAGGTCTTATCCCTCACCCTTAGGTCGGATTAAGTTATACATCATTTTGATGTATTAAGGGATTATGCTGTATAAGCTTATATTATACGATGGTCACCCCAAACAACTGAAAATGCCATAACGTATAGTATAAGCTTATACTATCATGCCTTATACGTCACACCAAACAGGCCCTAAGTTCCTTCGTCGCAACCACTCTCCCCTCCTTCACCAAATTTCGCTTATTAAAATGCTCATACGAAAGTGCCTAAATTCTAATCCTTTGGGTGTTGTGAGTGAAGCAAAAAAGTCAATAAAATATAAATCTCTTGATAACATTTTGAACCTTTTGATGATGTTGTTGAATAATTTATTGACTTTACCTTTTGGCTTTTGTCTTCGTCGTCACACACACACACATATATTTATATATATATATATATATGGGCATGATCTTCTTATGCTGGTGTAAGAATAACAAATCTTACATTCAATCTTAACCATTGATTTTCATATATTTGACGATTATAATTGATTGGAAATTAATAAAAATAACCCAATCAATTACAGTCATTTGATGAACGAAAATCAACAGTTAAGATTAGGTGTAAGATTTATTATTCTTACACCGATATAAATTGATCATGTCCCATATATATATACATATATAGGTAGGATCATTTGACACCGGTGTCAAATTTGAAGTTTGACACCTCATCTGAAAGCCATTAGATCAAAAAAGATCAATGGTGTCATATGCTTAAAATCAAGGTCGTTGATCTTGTTTGATCTAACGGCTTTCAGATGAAGTATCAAAGGATCCTACCTCATATATATATATATATATATATATATATATATATATATATATATATATCTATATATGAGGAAGATTATACTTACAACCTTTTTTTTACAACCTCTTACAACTATATATTAACATCATTGATTTCCCTCAATCAACGGTTATCATTTATTGTGAATTAATAATTAATGAATGAATTTAATTTGCCAAAATCATAACAGTTGATTGGCGGAAATCAACGGTGTTAAGATATGGTTGTAAAAGATTGTAAAAAAAAAGGTTGTAAGTATAACCTACCTTTATATATATATATATATATATATATATATATATATATATATATATATATATATATATATATATATATATATATATATATATAGGTAGGATCCTTTGACACCCCATATGAGAGTCGTTAGATCAAAAAAGATCAACGACTCTGATTTGCAAGCATGTGACACCATTGATCTTTTTTGATCTAACGACTCTCAGATGAGGTGTCAAATTTGAAATTTGACACCAGTGTCAAAGGATCCTACCTCATATATATATATATGATAAGTTATTTTATCTATTTTTTTTGTCTACCTTTGCCCATCACTCCCTAACACGATTAGATCAAAATCTCAATAGGGAAGAGAAATGATAAAGATAGTTGAGATTCTGATCTAATAGTGTTAGAGAGCGGTAGACAGAAAAGATGTAAGCAAAATATATATATATATATATATATATATATATATATATATATATATATGGAAAAGTGTTTATCCTTTTAAATGACACAACTTATATGACTTTTTGATCACTATAGCCTTTTTTTAATAATTAATTAACAAATTGACCCTATTTATAAATTATTTCAAAAATTTAACCTCTCCAGAAAACATAACACCAATCTGCCCTTGTTTGACCGTTGACCATGAAGCCTACTCGGGTACACCCCTACCTACTCGGGTATATTTTGAAATTTTTTACCTACCCGGGTATATTTCTTGAATATGAAAAATGTTTGAATTATTTACCCGGGTAGAGAGGGGTGTACCCGGGTAAATAATCATACCTTTTTTTGCAGTTTCTACTTTCTACATGTATTGTGCCTTAGTTTGTTTTCTGAGAAATTCCAAGAAGGCTAGTAGAATGTTTTCGCTTATTTCATCTTGTTTGTGTGTATGTAGCTGTTCTATGCGTGTACTCTTTACTCTATTCTGTTGTATACTAGTTCCTACTTTGGAACTTTGTGCTGTGATTCTGTAAATGAATCTGCTGATTCAGAATTTGTCTTTCTCGTTTGATTCTATTCAGCCTTAATCATTGTTTCAGGGATAAAAAGATGACCTTTTTTTCTTCAGCTATTGAGCGGTTAATCTGCTGATCCATCTTTCTGATGCCAACAACTCATCATGATGCGTCACTGCTTACAACTAGAAATAGATTAAACAGAAACAACCATATTTCCTTTCTTTGTTCCTCTCAACCCCCCCCCCCCCCCCCACCTTCCCCTCCTTCCCCTCCCATTTTTATTGACTGAACATGTGAAAGTATTTTTGCTGCTTTTCAATTAACCCCAGCAGCCAAAATGGAGATTGAAATATTATGCTTTTTACTTTCTGCTGATTGCTGCAAAAAATTTCTTTAACTAAATTATTTGAGTATGATTATTTACCCGGACACACCTCTATCTACCCGGATAAATAATTCAAACATTTTTTCAGATTCAAGAAATATACCCGGGTAGGGAGGGGTGTACCCGGGTAGGTAAAAAATTTCAAAATATATCCGGGTAGGTAGAGGTGTACCCGAGTAGGCTTCATGGTCAACGGTCAAACAAGGGTAGATTGATGTTATGTTTTTTGAAGAGGTTAAATTTTTGAAATAGTTTATAAATAGGGTCAATTTGGTAATTAATTATTAAAAAAAGGCTATAGTGGTCAAAAAGCCCAACTTATATCCTTTCACTCTCACAAGAGGTGTGACTCACACCTTTATTTTTTTGACAACTCTCTCTTCTCCTTTATCTATCTCTTTTCCTCTCTTAAAGTGACACAACTTTACATCCTTTAAAATGACATACATTTTCTCTTATACACACACACACACACACATATATATATATATATGAGGTAAGATCCTTTGACACCGGTGTCAAATTTGAAGTTTGACACCTCATCTAAGAGCCGTTAGATCAAAAAAGATCAATGGTGTCATATGCTTGCAAATCAGAGTCGTTGATCTTTTTTGATCTAACGGCTCTTAGATGAGGTGTCAAACTTCAAATTTGACACCGGTGTCAAAGGATCCTGCTTCTCTATATATATATATATATATATATATATATATATATATATATATATATATATATATATATATATAAGTTCTTTTTACACCAATATAAGACTAACAAGTAACAAGTCTTACACCACATATCAACCGTTAATAGACGAAAATCATTGGTTGATATTTGTAGTGTAATTAATGATTAATTCATATTAATTAATTCATATGACTTCCTAAATTATAACCGTTCGATGCACGAAAATCAACGGTTGAGATGTAGTATAAAACTTATTAGTCTTACACAGGTGTAAAATAATCCTGATCCTATATATATATATATATATGTATTAGAAAAATATTTTTGCAGTTACTGCAGATAAATTATATGCATTTACTTCCAAAACGACGTCGTTTTGGGATTGAAATATTAAAAAAATAATTATAAAGACTATAATAACCCTGAAATAAATTAAAATTACAAAAATATCATGATTTTCGTCCCAAAACGACGTCGTATTGGGCTTACTGCAGATAACTTATCTGCAGTAACGGCAGAAAAAGTGAACCCTATATATATATTTGAAATGTAATTAAGCATTATGTGTCCTTGCCATTATTTTGTTTATGATTTTCAGTAATATAGTTAAATTGTTAATATTTTGGGTTGTGGCATAGTTTCAGCTATAGTATTATTTTGACTTTCCATCAATTTAAATATATAAAATAAAGAAATTAATTATAATTTAATTTTACAAAGGGAAATCATTATCTCCTTCTACATGAGATAAAAACTTTTTCTTACACAAATTCGTTTTCCGTGCCAATTAATTTTTCTTTTCTTTTTTAATTTAAAATGTGGGACCCACATTTAACTTATTTCTACTTTTTTTCTCTCCTACTATCCTACAACATAAGAAAATATGCACCCTTTTACAAAATGCGCATCCCTTTTTTGGAAAACTTTATAAGCTAGACCAAATCTTGTCTCCGGTAAAAGTTAGACCAAACCTATAATTTGATTTTTATTAAGCTAACAAGTTAAGATAGGATTAATATATATCGATTCGTTTTTTCTGCAGTTATTGCATATATAAGTTATCTGCAATAAATTCAATATTACGTCGTTTTGGGACAAAAATTATGATGATTTTGTAATTTTAATTTATTTTAGGGTTATAATAATCTTTATATTTATAATTTTTTAAGATTTCAATACCAAAACGATGTCGTTTTAGAAATAAATGCAGATAACTTATCTGCAGTAAATGTAGAAATATTTTTCCCAATATATATTCCTAAACATTGCCCATTTAGAGTCTATTTGGATGAACTTTTTTTTAAAAAAAAGCTACTTTTTTTTTTAAAAAAAGCTACTTTTTTTTAAAAAAAAAACTACTTTTTTTTTAAAAAAAAACTACTTTTTTTAAAGAAAAAAGCACTTATCAGAAAAAGTCTGTTTGGATATCTGCTTTTTTCAAAAGCAGAAGTCATAAAAAAAGTTAAAAACTTACTCTCTTTTTTAAGCTAAAATTTTTTAGCTTTTAAAAAAAGCAGAAGTCAAAAGCCAAATATTTTTTTCAAAAATCAAATAATTTTTTTTTAAAAAATCTAAATAATTTTAGCTTTTATAAAAAATGCTTCTAAAATAAGTAAACTGTAAAAAGTGTTCACGGAAGAGAGGCAAGAATTGTATTATAGCTAAAGTCTGGAAGACATGGCATGGTGTGTGTGTGACTGAGAGAGACCATTGCTCAGAACTCAGAAGGAGTCCATTTAAAGCGGGTAATAAAACGGTAACAAACGTAGTTTGCCAAAACATGGAAAAGTCCAAAACATTATAAAAGACCTATGCTGTCCCCAGCTATTTATAACGCCCATGAGTCCTTCCAGGAAGACCAGGACTTGCTTTGGATCAGTTTCTGCCTCTGCATTAGACACTTTTGAGCCTCACAGACATAGGAGAAAACCCATGATCCCACCAACCTATCCTTTCTTTTCTGAATTCCATTTACACCAAACATGATACAGAACCACATAGAGAAATGATAGATACATATAGCCTTAAAAACAATAAAAACAGAGAAGAAGGAATGCAATTGCTTCAAGAAGACCCTCCTCTCTCTCTCTCTGGTGCGTACGTCCGTAGCCTAGTGAAACAACTAACCACCTCAAAACCAAAAGATACCATGAACACCAACACCAAAGACCCAGGTTGTGTTGTTGATGTTAAAGTTCCAGTTCCCCCAAATCAAAATTTAAGAAAACATGGCAAAGTTTTAGGTGGTCGTCAGGCACAGCTACCCATCCAACAACAACAACAACAACAATACAAAAAACAAGTTAGAAGAAGACTCCACTCTGGTAGGCCTTATCAAGAAAGGCTTTTGAACATGGCAGAGGCAAGGAAAGAAATTGTCACTGCCTTGAAATTTCACAGGGCATCTATGAAACAAGCCAGTGAGCAGCATCAGCAGCCATCACTATCCCTCCAACCTTCCCATCTTTCAAGTTTTGAGCAAGATGAAAGATTTAATAGTAGGAGAAATCCTAGGATTTACCCATCATGCACAACCAAATTCTCAAATTACATGGATGATTTTTCATATTCATCCATCTCCCATCCTTCTCCTCCCTCAGTTCCAATCTCATACACCTTGCCTGTTGCTTCCCAACTTGCTCCACCACCACCCCCGATGGCTGAAAATCCCAATTTCACACTTCCAAATCAGAGCTTGGGATTGAACCTCAATTTACATGATTTCAACAACTTAGGTGCTACCCTTTTTCTTAATAACAACAACAACGACGGCAACAACTCATCATCTTACTCTTGCTCATCCCTGACATCATCTTCTCCTCCTCCACTTTCTGTTGTAACTGTTAAGGATGTTCCTTCAAATGGAACATCACAGGGAGAAGGGGTTTCCTCACTGGTTGATACCATTGAATCCAGTGCTACAACTCAGGTTACTGAAGGCTTGCATACAGCCATGGATGATGAGGGCATGGCAGAGATCAGATCATTGGGTGAGCAGTATCAAATGGAATGGAATGACACTATGAATTTGGTAACATCAGCTTGGTGGTTCAATTTCTTAAAGAATATGGAACATGATGCACCCCAAGTCAAGACTGAAGATGATGCATATCATCATATCTTTGATGAACTCAGAGAATTTCCAGCTTGATTGAATGCAAACGAGAGCTGCTTAGAACGTACAGTACTCGGAGGATTACTTCCTAGATCCTACTTTACCTTGGTAAGTTCAATATAAGTTTCATAATGTTAATGAAGTGCTTCTTTTTTTTTTGTACTTTGTGCCTGTCAAGTAAAAGGCACAAGACTATTTACAAAAAAAAAAAAGGCACAAGACTATGTGTAGCTTGTTCGAGTCTTCCTGTAACACAGCGAGGGAAATTTAAGTAGGTGTCATCTTTTTGTTACACCAGAAAAGCATTCATCTTTTTTTTTTTTTTTTTTTGAGAACAAGCATTCATCTTTTCTTCTCCAAAGTTTGACTATCCAACTTTTATATATATATTATGAATGTTTATTAGGATTATTTTTTTTGGGTTATATGGAATCGCTGGGTAATTGGATATCGTATGGCCAAATTGAACTGTAGATTGAATTCAATCTCCATTTTTGAATCTCAGTGTGACTCTTTTATATATTCCTTTCTATAGGGAATGGTACGAGAACGTTAACTAAATTATTAGGCTTAGAAAAAAAAATTATATTTACAAATTTTTTATTTACGAACTCTTACAAATTATATTATGTTTGACCGGTAATACATTATTGAATAGTGTATTACCGGTGAGACATAGTATAGTTTGTATGTTTGTAAAAAAAAAAATTATTAATATAACTCTGTTTTAAAATTTTTTAATAAATAATTAATTGATAATAAAGTTACAAAACTTCTTTCCAGATTCAATAAAGCATGATTCCAATTACAGCCGTATGTTAAATCGGCTCTTTAGTAAAAAAATTTCTTTTAGAAATTATCATTTATTTTTAGAAAAAAAAATTCCTTAAAAGGTTTTTAATTAAAAAATTGACCTGAAAATAAATTAATCAAACAGACATTTAGTTGATACAGATTTTTCCACGTGGAGTTTTGATGCTCGTGTGGTTGGGAAAGTCATGCGACTAATTAGTTTTCCTGAGAAAAGCTGAGTTAGTTTGACTGATCCATAAAAAACAAAAATACCATTTCCCGTTAAATCTAACATCTAATTTATAAATATTAATTTTTAGCATCTAATTTTTGATTTTATGAATCTATATAAATATAATTTTTATATCTATTTGAATTGATTCGTAATCAAATTTAATAATTCATTTTTTCAAAAAAAATTGGATTATTAAATGAATATTTTTTTTGATACAAAATTCAAAATTAGTGTCATTACTCTTACTAATCAATAAAAGTATTAAAGTGGTTGTTGATAAACCTTTAGTTTATCTTATTTTATAGACTAAAACTATATGAATTATCAAGTTAAATAAATGAAAACTAGGGTTTATTGACTTAAAAGAATGAAATTTTTGAATTAAGAATTAAATAGTGTATATTTGCTATTTTGAAGGAATTTGATGATAAATGGAAGCAAATATCAAACTTGGATAGATAGAGATCAAAACCAAAAGATTTGAAGATTCCAAAATCCAAATCAAGAAAATCAAGCTCTTGAAGAGGAGGTTTAAGCCCTTAAATACTCCAGAAATTAAATTAAAGAGCAAATAGCCACTGTCTGAGGAAACTTAAGCCCCCAAATTCAGGTTTAAGCGCCCCGAACTTAGACCCACTTGAAGTATCCACCTAGGGCACAAATTCTTTGTCCTTAAAAACACAATTTGGGGCAGAATTACAAACTTTTTCATATTCCTAGAGAGTTCTTGGTACTCGGAGGCAGAGGAAACGCGGAGAAATCCACAGTTCATGTTCGTGAGCGGCGGAGACGGATCAAAATCAAGCTTGCACTGGAGATATTGAAGATTCACCAATCAACTATGGAGTTTGAGGAAACTTTTATATTTTCTTTCGTTCTTGATCTTGCTATGTCTGGCTAAATTCTTACGTAGTTAGGGTTAGATGGAATTCAATTAATCGTTTATGTCTTGAACAATTCTTTATGTTAATTTTCCTTTTTATCATGAATGAAATTCTCTTGTCTTAATGCTTTATATGAGCTTGAATCTTATATATTGATCTTAGGTAAATGCATGACAATAGGAATGTTGGTGCATAATCTGTATATGATAATTTCATCGCAATTCTTATGATTCTAGGGATAGACCTAGGGTTTGCGCAGTCTTAAGATTCTTGAACGTAATGCTTACTTTCTTGTAGAATAACCCAGGAACTAGGGTTCTTGCAAGATCGTAAAGACTTAGGATGTCAAGGGATGAGTCCTAATTACATTAGAAAGAATTGACTGGATTGATATTAAGGACGATTAATTTAAAGAAGGAATTCAAACATAATAGATAGATTGAAGGAAATCGAATCCCTAGCTACGTTTCTTTTAATTTAATAATTAAATCTTTAAATTCTTGCTCTTATTCTTGCTACTCATTAGTTTAATTAATTTAATTTTCAAATCAATTCTTGATCCAAATACAATTTCGATTGTCCAACTTAAGTCGAAGTAGTGAATTAGTGATTGAGTTATAATCCTCGTGGGAACGATCTTTTACTTAATCATTGTATATTTGTACGAATGGTGCACTTGCCGTTCCCTGAATTTGAATTATAACCTTTTAATTAAAGAAAATTAACTTTACCACTGCTCCAGTTCACAACCTTTAATTATTTGAATCCATGGGTTAATTTGACTAATCCATAATGGATTTAAATAAATAAACGTTTTGTTTTTCACAATTGCGGCAGGATAAGTCCATTCACTGCATCCATTTCTCAATTGTGAGTGAAAAATAGAAAAGAAGTATAGAGATGGTAGTTCTCTTCTGTCGTTACACCTTTATAGGCTTTGTTATACTCCCGTGGCACCACACTTTCAATCTTCGGAAGACCTGAGTTTTTATTCTCTTACGAGGTTTTGTTGGCTTTTTGACCAAACTTTAAACAAAAATAAATGTGAATTTAATTTATTTATGGGTTTAAGTTTTCTTATGTTGTAGGAGATAAAAAAAAGTAGAGAGAAGTTAAATGTGGATCCCATATTTTATATTTAAAAAGGAAAAAAATTAATTGGCACGGAAAACGAATTTGAGTAGGAAATTGATTTACTCTCATGTAGCATGAGAGTATTATTTCCCTTTATTTATATTTTAAAATTATTTCAAACCAATGCAGACGAGAATTTCGCACAACCAGCATTGAAACCCCACACATTGATCGTGTTAACATTTTTTAAATCTCAGATGTTGATTGTATCGGACTTAACGTCAATGTGGAAGTCTTGCACACGATCAATATGCGAGACTTCCATGCTGACAGTAAATCTTGCATGGTGAACGTGCAGAACTTCTATGCTGATTAAAAGCACGTAGAAGTAAATTAAATTGACATTTTTTTTTTATAAAAGCACTTTCTTTTGATAAAAAGCCAGCTACTCCTAACATTGTGTTGAATTACATGAAATTTTGTGGTCCCAAGCGATACCTAATAAGCCATTGTAAAACAATTACGTATATACGATACTAATTGTAAATATGAGGAAACATACTACGAACAATTCCAGCATGAGTATGTATGCATTAAGCTCAATCAATAAAAAATTTAAAATAATTCCAACAACAATTTTGATATTCTTTTCTAATTATATTTTGATATTATCTTAAATTTTTTAATTATTGTGCTAATAACCACTGTAGTAATGTTACAATTGTTCAACAAAATACTCAACCCTGTAAAATCATGATTTCACCTATAGGATGCTGTTATTCTTTAGTAAATTTATCAGTAACAGATGAACATATTGGTATACATTATTTAATTTATTGCTATGTGGTTTTTGACCTCATCAGTATGCATTGTTTATCTTTCTTCGTTAATAGTATTGGCTGCTGTAAGAGCTAAAAGCTTCAGAAAACGAGTTGTTCTTCCTCCAAGGGCTCCACTGCATTTCAGGGCAAATGTCATCCTTATGGTTGATGCTGAAAGTTGAAATGCAGTGTCTCTTTTATAAAACCTCCTCGTGGTCCTTTTCATGGTTTCTACCTCTTCAGTTATATGCTTAATCATTTTCATCACACTTGGAAGTTTAAAATGTTCATCAGCGAGTCCAGCCAGCCATTTGCGCCTTAGCATATGATGATTTAAAACTCTTTCAACATACCCCACAAATGCTACGTTTGGAATTAATGGATGAATCGTTCCTCTGTTGAACCAATCAAATCAATCTTAACATAAGGACTTCATTTGGTTCCAAATTGGCAAAAATATAATGAATAATAAAATATTTAGTCTTCAGTTCTTAACAAAGGAGTTATTTGAAATCAACGCGTATATAGTATATAACAAGCTCAGGATTACATTTTAGTTTTGGTTATGACATAGTTTGAAGTATGATGTTTACTTAGTAATATGTAATAGTTACTTACTAACCTAAGGAATTAATTCAACCCAAAAACTTAAGCTGTTGGGTGAGGTTACATTAATAATTTTATATATCTCTACATGTCCTCTCACACGAGAGCCAATACCATGTAAAAAATCAATTCAACCCAAAAGCTTAAAATGTTGAGTGAGGTTACATTAATGATTTTATATATCTGGCACTGTACAAGGGTAAGATGAGAGAATGGTCCACAATCAATCTGCTAAATAATTCAGGCAATAGAGCTTGGGGCTTCATCTTACCATCATATCCAGTGGCAAGAACCACAACATCAGGCCATCAGCCTCCAATGTGGTGTTATCTTCAAATTCAAGTCCTTTGTTCCAAAACCACCATTTGGAAGCCTTTTCGAATTTTATCTTTCCCTCGTCAGCTAATTCAGCAAAGAAATTCTCAGGCAAGATAGCCATTTGGCAAGAGGTGTCACAAATAGGAGATCTGGTTTGAGGCCATACTTTTCTAAGGGAAGCTTCCAAACCAAGTATGACTCTATGAACTTGGAAATTGCCATTCTCTGTCGATTGTGAGGCAGGGGAAATACCAATCCAGTTAGTGATGTTATAGTTGAACTGTTTGTGTGATGAAAATAGATCTGTCATCTTATGAGGGAAAGGTACAAATCTAAGTTCAATATGAGAGATGGCTAATGGGTCTCAGATGAGAGCGGAGAATTAAGGGGAAGTGTAAGGCAGGGTGGCTCTGTGTGGTAGTATTTGAACAAAGTAACAATGTGAGAATGAGTATGCAAAATGTACCACTTCAATGGCAAAAAAAAGACATATATAGATGGAGAAATTTCTCTAATAATAAATGTGAGAGAGCTATAACCATTTTGCCCTTGCGGGCCAGTAGGCGTGAGACAAACACCCTCACTTATGCATGAGGAGTGAGATTTAATGTGATGATGAAGATGCAATTGTCTCATTTTAAGGATGCATAGGTATAATCCCTTTCATGAGCCTAAAAAATTGGCCCAATAAAATGAGCTTGTGTGGCCGATTCATAACAGTAACGAATAACTAACTGATCAATGATATATCACTCTTCATTATTAGGACGCTAGAAATGATAAACGATCATGTCAAATTCGTAAGTACCATATTGGAGATGAAAGAAGGCATAGCAGGGTCCTCAACAAGCTTTTGTTTGGGCTTTCATGGAGAAACTGAGAGGATAGTGTTGAAAAGAACAATGTTTTCAGCTAATTTGGAATATAATTAGTATTGAACTTTTGAAAACATTTACTAAATGAAGAAAATAGCTTAAAGCTTTTGAATCCACACACATATAAAATTAAGTATGCATGAGAAATAATGTGGAGCATGCTTGACATTAACACAATAGTTATTGTCCTAGCAAATGCATGCATTCTAAATTGAGCCAAAAACACTGACATTTTTTTCTTTGAAGTATACCTAAATTTAGAAAAATAAAGTTGAACGAATTAAAAATGAAGGAAAATAAATCAACCTCAACAGTTTAGACTGGGTGTTCTTTACAGTAACCTCCCAAATAGGACGGCCACTTAAGAGCCTCCCATATTCTTGTTCAAATTTGTGTGAGTCCAAAAAAAAGGTGATGTTCACCATGAAGAGGGCATAGGTGAGTGCTTTAGTTGTGGTGATCATGGTCAGTAACATAACGAATTGTTGTGTTCTGGGCTGACTTTCACATCCCAATACATATGGGCTAGCCTGCAATGGCCCATTAAGGGATCACATCACTATCTCCCTATAATGAGCACATAAATCTCATCTCAGAGGATCTTTCACTCCCCCGCAGAGCTCACCTATCACTATATGATAGTGGAGCAATTCTTCGATAACAGAATGGGAGTGGGCAAACCAAAAACGGTTAGATTTCTTTTCTCTCTCATGGAATATGATTTTCATTTATACAAACTCATCTTCTTTCATTGAAAAGGAATATGCAAAACACCATTTACATGAGATGTTATTCTACCAAAATTTAGAGTCATCGTGCCCATACACGTTCCTCCTTCCTTAGCCTTACCTGAGATTGCACTTACCATGATGTCTCTTATGGAGCTTTGGTCCATACTACCGCTACTTCGAACACCCACACAGAGATCTACATCGCCATATAGACCAAGCTCCAAATCCATATTAGTTCATGTTATATAGTTGTGCAAGTATTCCAATATCTCATTGTAAGAAGGGAAAGATGATGAGTTGTTCCTCTGAGGACAAGGGAAGTCTGAAAATTCGAAATCACATCGAGGGGTCTGAAGTTTAGTAGAACTGTAAGAACAATGTTTCCGAACACCACCAATGGAATCAGTGGCTTCAAAAACCACTGGATCATAATTGGATAGCTGCATAGCAGCAGCAATCCCGCTAATACCTGCCCCATTATACCAACCTTGGATAGAATTAGGTGGTTGTGTTAGCCAGGTTTTGGCTCGATTATCACACACAAGTCACAAGAGGGCAATATTATATTTAACAAGCATTTAGCAAGCTCTAGTAAGTTGTTTGGAAGTAGCACATTGGAAGAGGCGGGGGACCTTTTGGTACTTTGCCTTAAATATATTAATTTTTTCTTTCAAATTGCTAGATTAAATGTAATAATTAGAGATATCACTAGTACTAGTACGTGAATCAATTGATACAAGGTTCAATCATACATAATTAGTGGTCTCAAATTCATGGACGCATGTAGTTGAGGTATGGCAATTAGAAGAAAATACCAATGCATGATATTTGAGTCGTTTAGCATTGACAATAGATAGTTAATGGGTAACTTTTGATCTCATCCTACAAAGAGAACAGAGAGAACCCAGCATATGTAAAATTTGAGAGACTAATAATCACTACCAAAAAAAGAAAGACTAATAATCAAAGAGTACCATTATTAATTGATCTTAAACGTAGCATTCTTATATATCACTGATAGATTGACCAGAATGCTTCAAACTTTCATTGAGTGAGAGACACAGGATATCTGTTGATGCAGTCGAGCCAAGGGTTCTTAGAAGGCTTTGTTTGGCGGCGCATGGAGCGCCAAACAACACTGTTACACTTGAAGCCAGAACCAAACGCAAGTTGCCAAACACGGTCTCCTCTTCTAACTTTCTCCTTTGCTTCAAGATAAGCTAGCTCATACCAAATGCTACTGCTAGATGTGTTACCAAAACGGTGCAGTGTCATCCTGGAGGCTTCCATGTTCTTGTCACTAAGTTCAAGGTTCCTTTGCAACTCATCAAGAATGACCTTGCTTGCAGCATGGACACAGAAATGCTCAAAAGCTAGTTTGTAGTCAGGAATGTATGGCTTCTTTGATGAAGTTGAGCTACCATTAGCATATTTACCCCCAAAAAAGTGCCTCCATACTAGAGTTGAAAAGAAGAGGAACTGCTCTGAAAAGGGTAGCACCAAAGGTCCTAGGGTAGTGATGTTTGTTTTGAGTGCATCGCCACCAATCTCAATCAAGTCTTTGCTTATCTTTATTCCCTTGAATTTTTTTTCATCTTCCTCTTGGTGAACACATCTGTTGTTGTATGTACATGACATTTTAGTATGGTGGAATTCGAAATATTTACAATAGATAATATGAAGGGGACAAAAAATTGTTTAGGTGATTGGCTGATGATCGAATGACTAATAACAAACGAGATGAATGATATAATAACTTGCAAGTAGTAATATAAAGCTTTTAATTTTCTTTTCCTCCTCTCTAGTTGATTTTTCTTTGTGGCTCACTTTTTTGTTTGATTCGAAGGAGTAGGACTATAAGGGGCAATTTGATGGTCCCGAATTCTGATTGGGTTATTAATTAGCCAAGCAGTGGTACAGCCTAACTTAAATGCCAAACCAGAAAAAGAAGCAAAATATCTACCAGCATATTGAACTAGGTTGATTCTAGCTTTCTATTCACAGGCCCACATGTGAAATTTCCTTTTTCCTTTAGCTGAAAGTTCAATTAAATAAAATATACAAGGGGCAATTTACTGGGCCATCCTTAATGGCAAACAAGCATATTCAATCATATAAAAACTAGACAGAAATATTGTTCTTTTGAAAATAAAAAAACCTTAAATGAATATAAAACATATCCATTCAATTCCAACACATCTTATTTTCTTAAGATAAAAGCCCTCTATACAAGTGTTTATAATATATATCTCCCTTCTATGTTCTTTCACGTACAAGAATGGCTAAAGTGAAATAAACTTCACATCAAGCGGTTAACGTCTTTGTAATGTTTTGAGGTTTAAAAAAAAATGTGAAGAGAAGCATCCTCAAAATCATAAATGAGGATTAATCTAAATATTTAAAGGATGAGGAAAATCCTTGAAAGAAAAATAAATTTTATTAGCATAGCCTTTCTGAATAATGTGAATTCTAATGTAACAATTTTCTTGAAATTAGGGTGAAAGTTCACTAGCTGGTCAGGTTTCAACCAAGATATTTGGCTGAAATTAACTATCACATCAAAATTAATTCTTTTCTAAAACTTACAAAGACCAAATGGGTGTGAAATTCGTCAAAAGCACTGTTATATATAGCATATGCTAATTAATTCCACTTTCAAAACGCATAGGCTAATGTTTCTTGCAAAACAAAAAAATAAAATAAAATGGATGATGATGGGTGTAAAGTCCAAGTCCTAGGTGAAAAAAAGTTGGTAAGTATGAGAGTTCAGACTCATATTTGGAACTAGAATAGAATATGTAACGTTCAGCTATATAGTTAGAAATCCATGCTTAACTATCAAAATTCATTCATGCAACAAGTGAAATGAAACAAAAATTGAGAAATTAAGGAATATTAATTGTTGCATAAGCAAATTAAACCGAACCTGAAGCTGCGATCATCAGCACCTTTATGTGTACGAACAATATGTTCAAGACTGTACTTAGCACAACTATAGTCACGACGACGGTTAGAAAGAAGAAGAGCAGAACACCCCATGCGAAAGAAACAGTTTGGAATGAGCATTGACCTTTCTTTACCTTGGTACCAGTTAAACCCCACAACCTCAGTGCTCACAACCACCGCATAGTTATTAGGGTTAGATTGAAGCATGTCCCTTGCCAAGTCCACAGCAATGATTCCAGCACTACAACCCATGCCACCAACGTTAAAGCTCAATATGTTTCCCCTCATCTTGAAGTGGTTTATGATCATAGCTGATAGAGATGGTGTTGGGTTGAAGATGCTGCAGTTCACTACAAGAACACCAATGTCCTTTGGACGAACACGTGTTTTCTCAAAGAGCTCGTCAAGTGCTCCAAACATAACCAATGATGCCTCAGCACGACCTTCTTTCATGGTTGCGCAGTTTTCACTCGATGACATCACTGCCTTTGGGATGTATGTCTCGTCCCCTATGCCTGAGGCCATTAGAATCCTCTTCTTGAACTCGAGGCTTCCCTCATCAAACTTGCCTGATTTTCTTGCTGCCTCTATGAATTGCTCCCTTGATACCTGCATACATTAATTAGTCCAAGACTTAAAAAAAACAAAAAAACAAAAGACTTATATTGGTGTTAAAAAACGGGTCTGTCGCTTCTCGTGTGACTTGCAAATTTTTAACACTAGGATACACGTGCGGATCTTAGGATACACGTGCGGATTCTATAAAAAAAAAAAAATAAGGATTCGGACGCGTATCCTGTGTTGCTGCACTTTTTCTCTTCTGCAGTTACATAAGAAGTACTTTCCCTTTAAAAAAATTAAAATAAGTACTTAACGAGTAAAACTTATTGTTATTATGTGTGGCAAAAAAATTCCTAATATAGGTTTGGATAAAGAATTAAATTTTTACTTTTCACTAAAGTTCATATATTATTTTTTTTATTCGTTCGTCGATCATCTGATTAATTAACTCAAGTCAGATAGGATTATAAAAGTAGCATAACTCTTGTACCAAATTTTTAGTATATTTGTATATGCTGGACTCGAACTCGAAATCAATGATTAAATTAAAACAATTTCTACTAGTTGATCCACAAGCTTATTGGTTAAAATTACCAACTATTGTAAACCTATGGGATGAGAACTCACTCTTCTGTTAATTAAACTTGCTCATAGCACTAAATTTTTTTAATTTTTTTCAATGTTCATTTAGTTTTGGTAAACTTGAATATTAACTGAATAAAAATAACTTAAAAAAATCTTAATTATTTGAATTTCGAAAAAGGTATTTTGAAATGCCTCATGAGTACTTATAGAGATATATAAGTCTAAATAGAAATCTAGAAAGAAAGAAAAAACATGGAAATAAGCTCATCCAATTAAATGGCTTAACATAATGCTAGTAAATAGAAGGGAAATGTATCCTCTCTCACCTGGAAAAAAAATATGATATGGTCATGCGAGAACAACCATACAAAGGTAAATCAATGGTTATGATTTCGTAACTACTTATTTTAATATTTTTTTCTCTCTTCTCCTTTATTACCATTGATCTACCTTTGTATGGTTATGATTCTCCACATGACATGTTCACGTGAATTTTCACATGAGAGGATCCAGATGCAAATAGAAGGCATTTTTGGAGTTTAAGATGAGAGAATGAAAATAATGGTGATTTAAAGTTTTATCACCTTATAAACTTCATCTTCGGGTCGATAGCATGCAAAATCAATGAGGTAAATGGGGCGTGGTCTTGACATGAAGTAGACAGACATGGTGAAAACGAAGACACCAAAGAAAGCAAGCACAGTGGCAAGGTCGTATCTAGCATCTTCCCAAAGCTTCTTCCATAGCTCCTCTTTGCTGAGGCTACCAACCTCAGCACTAAACACAAGCAAGAGAACAGGTATTGTGACCAAGTAAATGCCATGGTTTATGAGATAATGGTAACCCAATTTCACGTACTTGAGGTTCACTGATTGAAGAAAATCCGGTAGCCGCCTCCTCACCCTTACGGAGAATGTCAAAGAGCCAGCGTTGGGTCCAGATGATTCAATCCCACGGTTCACAATCTCAGTCGCGAAGAGATCACGTTCACTGGCCATGGTGGAGGACATTATTACTTTATGTATTACGATATTGTTATGATGAGTGGTATTAGGCTTATACTGTGTATATCTTTATAAGCAAGTGATTATCAAAGAGGTTGGTGGAACATAGTTAATGCTTGCACCTAATTGATGTTTGCGCAGTTGAGGCTTTTTAACAGCATTAAATTTCTTCATTGAATGTAAGTGGTTGCATGAGTTCAACGTTCAACAGATCTTTCGGGTTTTGATTTGTTAAGGTGCCATATTGTAGGTGCACTTTATTTATAATTTTATCTTTTCTTTTACAAATTTTCATCCCATATAACATTTCCATCTCTGCAATCCAACACTTGTCTTGTGCTCTTCTTGGTACTTTATTGCCTACCATTTAATACCATAAACCATCAGCACTATTTGCATAGTTGTGCAATGAAATTTTCTTTTAGCTCAAAGATACATTTTACTTTTATAAATAAGGGTTATATTTATCTTATTTTACATGAGATAAATAATTTTCCTACACACACCAAAGAGGACGGGTCCTACCACTCTTTTTTTTTCTCTCTCCTCTTACCTGTTGGTCTCACTTATAATTTTATTTCTAAAACATGAGATAACTACTTTCTTACAACATAAGAAAAATATTTCTCTATAAATAATGCCTGAAATATATTTTCATTTTATCCACTTGAATGCCATTATTTACATCTAACTATTTTTCCATTGCTTCATATGATAGATCCAAAATATCTTAGCTGTGTCATTTAAGATATGAATAAGAATTTCAAAGAATTTGCTTTGGTCACGGTTTGAATACTGACCAAAACAAATCCTTTAGTACTCAATTATCAAATAAGCTACTTTGGGGTTATCCAATTTTCATCTATATAAACTAATATTACTAGCATGTATATTGTTAAACTTGCATTCTATAAACTTTATTTTACTTTAAAACTAATTACATATATAAGAAATATTTAATATTTAAAAACTGTAATTAAAAAATTTAATAAAAAAACAATAAATGTTATTTTTTATTGCTTATCACATGGCTTATGACACAATTAATGGAACAAATTGTATCGTTTGTTGTTTTTTCTTTTGCTGTCCTTTTAATTTTGTCAACAAGAAAAGAAAAACTTTCTCGACGTTTATATCATCCAGCTGTGTCTCGATGAACATTAAATGTCACATCCATGAGCCACCAAGCAGGCATCACTGTACGTATATAACTATATATTGGCATTAGCTACCATATTTCTTTCTTCATTATACACTTTTCCTACCTTCTTCAATATAGCTCATTGCCTCCTCAACATAAAGCAAAAGAAAACCATTAAGGATTTTATAGTTTTCATCTGTGTTTGGCCCTCCTAAGTCGCTGCAACTGGTAATCTGGTATTACACATTGATAAATGTGGGGGATCAAACATTCGAATCAATGTATGATGTTAACAACATAACACAAAAGTATATTGTCTCCGAGCAAAATCCAAACAAATAAAGCAAGAGATCGAGTGAAACTAATTACCTATGCACCAAATCTGAAATTTTCTTACATAAAGAAATGGGTTATAAATATCATAAAAATATAAGACGATTCATGTGACTTAAAAAGTTGTCTTAATTATGCTTGTACAGTTACACCACCCAAACTTGCATATAGGTAAGACCGCAAGAGTGCAGCACATAGAGTAACTCGGTTTTTTACTTTGCAGAACCTCAGTTATTTCTCTGCTACTTTCTGGTCAATTATGGATGTGACAATTAACAAATTAATTACCTGCTGCATAAGAAAACGGAAATTATATTATATTTGCACTTCTTTCCTTTTATATTACTTTACATATAATAATAAAGGGTTTTATAATTCTCATGTTGTAGAGATAAAAAATATGTGGGACTCATGTGTTACAAAAAATTATATATAAAACTCATGTTAATACGAAAATCGAAGGATGTATAGAAAAATTATAATTCTCATATTAAACGAGAATTATAAAATCCAATAATAAATGCAGTGAAAAAAAAGTTAGAAAAAAAAAAGAGGATTTGCATAAATCGGCTCTCTTTGTCCCCTGTTTATCGGATAACGTGAGTACTTACAACCCAGAGCAGCTAACTGTATAAAGGTGATTTGTTTATGAAAACATGTTCAAGGCTCAGCCTGTGCCTTTTCAGGTTAACAATCACGACGGGAGCACATAGTATAAAACATAAAAGTGGCTTTTCTTTTTATCTTTTTAATAAGGAAAAATATACTTTTATATTGTAAGAGAGTATATTTTTCTTCTACATATACATCAATTTTCTTATTATTTTTTTATTTTTTCTATAATGAATGTGTCTCAGTATATAATTATTTCTATAGCATAAGAGAACTTCTCTCCTATATATTGCATGAGATTTATAAAGCTCTTTTAATAAACTAACAGGTTGACACGCTTTTATTGGTCCGTGGTATATATATCCACAGTATATTAGAATTTTTTTCTCTCATGTACTGAGATGATAAAATGTCAGGGCTGGTGTTCTATTTTTATTGGATGGACGTATGAAAAAGTGGGAGCGATTGGAGCACTTTAGATATTTCTCACCCGGACATCTATATTAAAATTTACTAATATTATTTACACGTAATGTTGATGTTTTATGCATTATTTTTAGGGTGTGCATCGTGACAATCATTTTATTTTTTGACATTGTTTCTGAAAAGAAATAATTTTTTTTCTATTTCTGTGCCTTGGAACAGTTTTTGAGAAAAAAAATGTGTTTGATAACATATTCTATTTTTATTTTGAGAATGAGAATTGCGTTGATAACACAACAAATAATATAATAAAAAATAATTCCTATTAAGCATAAATTTTTTTCGGATTATCACTATCATTTTCATATGATGTGATGGTGGTGGTGGTGGCGGCGACAGTGGTGGTGACATGGTGATAGTAGTGGTAATGACGACAGTGGATGCGATGGTGGTGGTAATGGTGATGGCATAATAGTGATGGTAATGGCGGCAGTGATGGCAGTGGCCGCGAAGATGGTGGTGGTGGTTGTGGCGGTGGTTGGTGGTGGTGGTTGGTGACGGTGGTGGTGGTTGGTGACGGTGGTGGTGGTGGTGGTGATGGCAGTGGCTGCGGTGGTGGTGGTGGCGTGATGATGGTAGTGGTAGTGACGGCGGTGGATGCGGTGATGGTGGTGGTAATGGTGATGACAGTGGCTGCAAAGATGGTGGTGGTTGTTGGCTGCGATGGTGGTGGTTGGTGATGGTGGTGGTGGTGGTGGTGATAGTAGTGGTTGTGATGATAGTGGTGGTCGTGGTCGTGGTCGTTGTAGCGATGGTAATGGCAATGGTTGCGTCGATGGTAGTGGTGGTTAGTGAATGTGGCGTCGTCGTGATGGCGATAGCATCATGGTGGTGGTGGTTGTGATGGTGGCAGTGGCGTTGTGATGGTGGTGGTTATGACGACATTGGTGGTACAACGACAGTGGTGGATGGGGGTGGTGGTTATGTCGGGATGATGGTGGTGATGATAATGATGATAGTGGTGAAGAGTAATTCAGAGAAATGAGTGTTTCTCATTTTGTGCCCGGGAACAAAAGAAAGAAATTTTTTGATTCCTTTTTCTTTTTCCCAGCGCAAAAATTAAACTGAGAGGGAGAGATTGGAGCACTTTAGATATTTCTCACCCGGACATCTATATTAAAATTTACTAATATTATTTACACGTAATGTTGATGTTTTATGCATTATTTTTAGGGTGTGCATCATGACAATCATTTTATTTTCTGGCATTGTTTCTGAAAAGAAATAATTTTTTTCTATTTCTGTGCCTTGGAACAGTTTTGGAGAAAAAATGTGTTTGATAACATATTCTATTTTTATTTTGAGAATGAGAATTGCGTTTGATAACACAATAATTAATATAATAAAAAATAATTCCAATTAAGCATAAACTTTTTTCAGATTATCACTATCATTTCCATATGATGTGGTGGTGGTGGTGACGGCGGCGTGGTGGCATGGTGATAGTAGTGGTAATGACGACAGTGGATGCGGTGATGGTGGTGGTAATAGTGATGGCATAATGGTGATGGTAATGGCGGCAGTGATGGCAGTGGCCGCGAAGATGGTGGTGGTGGTTGTGGCGGTGGTTGGTGACGGTGGTGGTGATGGCAGTGGTTGCGGGGGTGGTTGTTGGCTGCGATGGTGGTGGTTGGTGACAGTGGTGGTGGTGGTGGTGATAGCAGTGACTGTGATGATAGTGGTCGTGGTGGCAATGGTAATGGCAGTGGTTGCGTCGATGGTAGTGGTGGTTAGTGAATGTGGCGTCGTCGTGATGGCGATAGCATCGTGGTGGTGGTGGTTGTGATGGTGGCAGTGGCGTTGTGATGGTGGTGGTTATGACGACATTGTTGGTACAACGACAGCGGCGGATGTGGGTGGTGGTTATGTCGGGATGATGGTGGTGATGATAATGATTATAGTGGTGAAGAGTAATTGAGAGAAATAAGTGTTTCTCATTTTGTGCCCGGGAACAAAAGGAAGAAATTTTTTGATTCCTTTTTCTATTCCTCAGCACAAAAATTAAACTTATTCATCCCGAGAATGAAAAAATCAACTGGTTTTAACAAACGAGTTTTCTATCTATTTCTGTTTCCGGGAACAGAAATTAAAAAAAAAAATGATTCCGGGAAGGTTGTCATGCACACCCTTTGAATTATATTTTTCTTATTCCATGTAAGAGAAGTCAAATTCCTACACACACAAAATAAGGATGAGTCTCATCTATTTTTTTCTCTTCTTTCTTGTGGATCTCACTTGTGATTTTATCTTTATTGTATGAGGTAATTCTTCTCATGTAGCATGAGAAAATAATTTTCTTTATTTTTAATATAGCTATTTTTTTCTTATGTTACATGAGGTAGCATTGTCTCATGCTATGTGAGATAGTATTATTTCATGTAAAGACATAATTAGGTGGGTCCCACAACTAAAAAAAGAAAAAAGAAAAATATTGGCTCGAATTCCGATGAGTTA